GCTTGATTCCCCCCTCTCCCACCAAACTTAGATCTTACCGATATTTTTCCTCTTTAGTTATCTTATTTTAATTTACATTTTTGATTATCAGTGAAACTAGACATCTTTTAACATGCTAACTGGTTACTTGTTATGCTTCTTTTTAAAAAAATATTTTTATTAGTTGTTGATGGCCACCATTTTACTTGTTTATTTATAATGCAGTGCTGAGATTCTAACCCAGTGCCTCACACATGCTAGGAAAGTGCTCTACCACTGAGCCACAACCCCATGCCCTTTGTTATGCTTCTTTTCTGAATTGCTCTTTGCATGTTTTTCCATTAAGGTGTTTGTCTTTTTCTTAGAAGTTATTAGATCTCTTTGGATATTAGGAATATAAACCTTTTAGTCATACAATATATTGCAACTCTATCATTTGTTGACTTTATCCTCATTCAGCCATTATTTTATATTTTTAATTAATTAATTAATTTTGTAGTTGTAGATGGACAGAATGCCTTATTTTGTTATTTTTATGTGGTGCTGAGGATCGAACCCAGTGCCTCACACATGCTAGGCAAGTTCTCTGCCACTGAGCTACAGCCCCAGCCCTTACATTTTTAAAAAATCTATTTTTTAGTTGTAGGTGGACATAAAACCTTTAGTTTTTTTTAGTTGTCAATGGACTTTATTTATTTATATGTGGTGCTGAGACTTGAACCCAGTGCCTCACACATACTAGGCAAGTGCTCCACCACTGAGCCACAACCCCAGCCCCCAATACCTTTATTTTTATGTGGTGCTGAGGATTGAACCCAGTGCCTCGCGCTCACTAGGTGAGCACTCTACCACTAAGCCCACCACCCCAGCCCAAAATTTTACATTTTTATATAGTAAAATTTAAAAATCTCTTCACTTTGAACCCACTCTAAGATTAATAAAATTGTCACATATTTCTTAATGTTTATGTATTTATTTTTAATTAAAAATTTTTATTAATCAGACATATTTTTTTGGTACAAGGACTCAGCTTTTATGTTTTTCCAGATGTTTGGTCAGATATCCCATTATCATTTGTTAAATTATTATCTAACTTGATACACATTATTTAATATTCTAAATTCCCAAAACTTTATACTTTAGTTCTTTCTTTGGACTCTTTTTATATTATATAAATATTCATTTCTATGTTGATGCCATACTGTTAATTATTGAACTTTACACTATTCCTAAGTATGTAATAGTATAAATCCCTACTCTTGCTTTTCAGTATTGCTTCCATCAAACATTTATAAAGTCCTTTTCATTTATAAACTCCTACTCCACTATTGCCCTACTTTATTTAATATTTAATGTGGCTATAACAAAGTATCTAAGTCTTGGTACTGTATGAAGATAACAGATTTATTTAGTTTTCAGTTCTGTTAATCCAAGAGGATGGTGCTGGCATCAGCTTCTGGTGAGAGCAGATAGTGTCATGTAGTGGGAGCACATGTGAGGGGGATCAGTGTCAGATGACAAGAGAGAAAGCAAGAAGGCTAGCCAAGAAAGCTAAATTCACTTTATATATCAAAACCTACTCCAGCAGTAACCAATCTAGACTCACAACAACTATCCCACTTCAGGACACAAGTTGGTGCCCTTAAGGGCCTACTTTACTAGGTCCCACCACTTCCCTAGGTTCCACCACCTCTCAATACCATTACATTAAGGAACAAGCCTCCAGCACATGAAATTTTGGGGAACAAATCATATCCAAGAATAGCAACTATACAATTAACAGTCTTAATTTAGAGAGTGGGGTTTGCTTACTTAACTTCCACAGGACCATCTTATTTCTAAGCTCTTTCTTGGGGATACCTCACTATAACCCACTTTTAACACCAACATGTATGAGTAAAAAACAAATCTGAAATGTCCTAATAATCCTAGTTTTCCAAGGGTGCTTTAGAGATTTAATTCAGTCGTTAGCCAATGTTTATTTTTTCTTTGCTTAAGCAAGGTTGCTTATTATTTTTCTAGTAAGCCAATCTTTATCTACTGTGTGTCTGGAACTTGTTACATGTCTGCTTTCCCATCTTGAGGAAAAGTGAAGGACTCAGTATGTTACAAAAAACTCAGCATCAAACCCACAGAATAGATGAGGAGATAGGAATGGGGCTTAAAGAGTTTTAGTCTGAATTTAGCTCTGATTTAACTTTCATAATCATACTTTGAACTCCAATCATGGAAGACTACGGTTTAAGAATACAAAATTTGTTTGCTCCAGTATGATCCTGGGTAGGTCATGGGAACTTAAGAAGCCTCCCCTAGAATAATAACTTTTAGTGGTGTTGTGAAGATTAAAAATAATTGTCCAGTTAACAAATATTTGCTGAGCACCTAATATATGTAAGTGGCAATAACTCAGTGAACAACTTAGACATAATTCCTGGCCTTATGGAATATGGTCTATGTGTGGGTTGGGAAAAGGCAGGCAGGCTACTAAGGAAGAATTTCAGAGGTCCCTAATCTAGACTAAGCTTCAGGGACTTCAGAAAATCTCTTTAAAAAAGTAAAGTGAAAGCTAAAACCAAACAATGAAGTAGTTAGTTGAGGAGAGGCATATTCTAGTCAAGAATAACATGTGCCATACATTTGAAGAATTGAGATAAGTTTCATATTTCTAGAAGCAATGGGCAAAATTCTGGACAAGGAAATGAAACGATTATCTTTGTACATAAAAATATCATTTTACAAATAAAAATAAATGAAAAGATTGTTTTGGAGAAAAAAATTAGAGTACGAAAGAAAGTTTTAAAAATGCTTTTACCCTACTTCCTGTCCCCTGGCTTTGAACCTTCCACTGGATTCCCATGTTTGGCCATAGTTTTATAATCCCCTTGCTCAGTTTCCATCCTCACTTCCTTCCAGTCAACTCCCTTGTTGGGAACAACTTACCTTCAGAGTTGTAAGACTGGCTCTTTCTCATGATTCCAACCAAAGTCCAAATATCCCTTCTTTAGAATAGTTTCACCTGAACACCTGACCTGATGTTAAGTTGCCTCCCCTACAGCATTTACTATTACTTTTAACCTATTTATTGTCTTTATAGCATTAGTTCAATATTGGGTATATCAGTAAGATACCTGAAATATAAGAGATAAGATAGCTTGTAATAGAGGTCTGGTCGTACACTTAAAATACAAATCTGAAATTGTTAGTCCATAGGTGCTAACTGAAATCATGGGAATAAACCATGTTGCTTAGGAGGAAAACTTGCAGTGAAAAAAGACAAAGGCAGAGCCTGTAAAGGAGGGTGAGGTGAAGTAATGAGAGAGAGAGAGAGAGAGAGACAGAGAGAGAGAGAGAGAGAGAGAGAAGAAATAACAGTGTGCAACATCAAGGAAGCTAAGAGGACAGACTGAAAGAGAAACTGACAATGCGGTCAAAGTGACTGAGGAATTTAGGAATATGGAAGTCACCAGTGACCTTAGTGACTGCCAGAGAATGGAAGGAGTAGAATTTGAGTGGGTTGAGAAGAGTGGGAGGTGAGGTACTAAAGATAGCAGATGAAGACAAGAATGTTTCAAGAATTGCTGTGGGAGGAGAAGGATGGTATAGTAGGTAGAAGGAAAGGTGGGATCCAGGGAATACTTTTTTAAAGACAGGAAAATCTAAGTGTGTTAATGCTTATGAAAAGAAGCTAATAAAGAAGAAAGGTTGAAGCTACTAAAAAGAGAAATGCTAACCTCAGAAGGAAAACCCTGAGTGGACAGAAGATGAGATTGACCTAAGGATAGGAAGAGGGATACCGCCTTTATTAAAACAGGGAGGAGAGTGGAAAGAATATGTACAGTCCAGTATTGACTGCTTTACCTACAACAACTTCTGTTAATTATGTTTGGAGTTTTGGTGGCAGGAAGCTGAGTTAACTCCCACCTGAGGGCTTATATTTTCTCTGAAGTCATCTGTTGAGTATTGATAGGAAGTAAGAGAGGACAGTTTGAAATAGCTGATGAGTGAAAGAAGCAGCATACTAAAGAAACAGTGGGACTCCCATGTGCAGGAAAATTGATTAATATAAATAAAGCAACTGGTATATAATAATTGCTCTATAACCAATAAATAATATCTACCAACATTATGATTACTAATACTGACCACTATTTTTTACAGTCACGGGCCAAATAAAAGAATTTCTGTGTGGGTAGATTACAACCCTTATTACAGGGAGTTGGTATGGGACCTATATCCTTGATGCATACTAACAGATAATAACATAAGTCACCATTTATCATTGTATATCTGCTATTAGACCTTATATTTTTACTTATGTTGGTTCTGAAAGACTATGTATTATAAATATCTGTATTTCTCAAAGTATTATTTATAAATGAATTTGTTTTCTGGTGGTTTTCTGCTGGATACAATGGCAAGCAACTGTTTTCTTGCTATAAAATAGCCAAACAGACTTGTACCTTCCCATTTTATCTGTACAAGGCAAAATTTCTGGGCACTATTCACAATAGGAACTATTCAGTTTTCACAAACAACAGGCCTGCTACTTACTCACCAAGGCAGAACAAAATGCTAGCTGGTAAGTGCTGCAGTGTAGCACATAGTTTCCAAGAGAGGGTATATTCATATATGAAGATTCCAAATGGAGGTAATGAAAGATATAAACCCTCTAAAAATCAGGCTAGCTACACATAGGCCAGGAATCAAAAAGAGGCTAAGCTAAACAAAACATTGTGATTAGTATTACCACAATTTCATTCTTGTAGTACACTAATGATGTGAGATTCACAATCAAAAACACATGGAGAAGATGTTGTTTACCTTGAACAGTTCAAAAAATCTTAGCATTTTATTGTTATCTCTTACTAAGTTACTTCTAGCTGGAATGGGAATAGGGCAATCCCAGCCAAAAGGTTGGGCAGTATTTCTGTGATAAAACAGGGGCAACTGGTACCAGCATATATGAAGGTAGCTGCCCAAGTGCCAAACCCTGTAACAGAAATATATAGCTGGAACCTAAATGGTATTGAAAATAAACATTTTATTATATAACAGGAGTTAAAATATTCAAAAAAATTAACACCAACAAAACCAAAAACCATTCTGAGCACAATTTTAAAATTGCAACTACCTTACACTTTTCAGAAATTTGATTGAAAAACAAATGGTTACATATGCTGCCCACAGATGGGGCCAAACCATTATGTCTACTGTAGTAGCTGAACAAATTGTGAGTTAGGGAACTGGAACCACTGCCCCAATGGCAACTGCAGCAGAAGAAAGAAGAGCTCACAACCAAGATGCTCAAACTTGGGTCAGAATCCATCTGTGATCCATTTCCAGTCAATCTGACAAGTCACTCTGATCCAGCACAATTATCCTGTATTTACATGTTTTAAAAGACAAAAAGAAAAAAAGTTTCCAGTTGATATATATGCTTTTTATTATTATTGTTTTTGTTTTTATTTTTTGTGTGGTGCTGGGAATTGAACTCGGATCCTGATACATCCCCAAGCATCTCAAATGCTTTATTTGAGACAGGCTAGCTTTGAGCTTGTGACCCTCCTGCTTCAGCCTCCTAAATCACTGGGACTACAGATGTGCACCACTGTGCCCTTCCCAATACATACTTTTTTATGGACACAATATATTTTTATGTGGTGCTAAGGATCAAACCCAGTGTGCAAGGCAGGCACTCTAACACTGAACTACAGCCCCAACCCTACATACATTTTTTCAAAAGATACAAACAACATCCTCTTTCTGTTCTACAGAATTTAAGGAAAAGGGATTTTGATATTTCTTTTTTGTAATATTTATTTTTCAGTTTTTGGTGGATACAGCATCTTTATTTTATTTTTATGTGGTGCTGAGGATCGAAACCAGCGCCCCGCGCATGCCAGGTCAGCGTGTTACCGCTTGAGCCACATCCCCAGCCCAGGGATTTTGATATTTGTAATCAAGGGAGATTATGATCAGCAACTTATAATGGAAATGCAAAAATGATGCAAAGCAATTGACAGCAGCAACTTATGTATACCTTCTGTATGAAAAGTATTCTCAGGCTGCGTCTACTACTAATTTAAATAAAGTTAGAATTAATTTCACCTTTTTTAATAAACAGAAACATGTATCTATAAACTGAGCAACTTCATCTTTTTTATTTTATTTTTTTTGTGGTTGTAAATGAACAGAATGCCTTTATTTTTATGTGGTGCTGAGGATCGAACCCAGTGCCTCACACATGCTAGGCAAACATTCTGCCACTGATCTACAGCCCCAACCCCGTGCAACTTGGTCTCATTAATATTTATTTAGAAACCAGTGAATATTTCAATTTGCTTATGTAAATGGTAAACTTTAACCTATAAACACAGGATATCTCATTACCTGGATGGTTCAGACCAACCCAGTCGCTTCCAAAAACACGGTTTTAGTTCATCTTGGTGAAATATAAGAGGAAGGAAAAAACAACCTGATTACTTTCTAGGTCAAAGAGTGTCAGAATTCAGAATTCACACTAGTGTTCTCTCTAGTTTAGTGTAAACTGTTTTACCTATAATAGTTGTTCTATAGAGGCAGAATGGTTAATGGCTTTCCCTCCTAATATTCTGAAGCTCTTTGCCACAGCAATGGACACCAATGACACTAATTCGCAAATACTAACTAAAAGCCCATACACTCTAGTCAAGGTTCTGGAGGAAACAAAATGTACCCATGGCAAATACAGATAAAGATTACTTAATGAAGTAACTACATACAAAGGTTCAGGGAACAAAAAAAGGAATGGCAAGGCATTCGGTGACTAGCAGCAATGGGAAACCTAGGTCTGAAGGGACTGAGGAATGGGGATGAGAGGACAGCTGGAACTGGGAAAGACTGGCTGCCTCATAGAAGCTGTGCTTGTGAAGGAACACCACTTCTATCAGATGCAAGGTGTTGAAACAGGCAGGGAGGGAAAGTAAACCCTTAACATCTCTTCTGCCCTCTGCTCTTTTGCCTGGGGCCTCCCTCTGACCAACAGGAAGCCAGGGAGAGGCAGTCCACTAGAGTCAGCATCCCAGGACACAAAGCAAAGTAGAAAAATTAAATGAGGAAAGGATGAAAGGGATACCATATATGACCTGAAAGAGTTAATGTTTTTTTTTTTAATATTTATTTTTTTAGGTGTAGATGGACACAACCCAATGCCTTTATCTTTATGTGGTGCTGAGGATCGAACCTGGGTCCCGCCCATGCTAGGGGAGCTCTCTACTGCTGAGCCACAATCCCAACCCAGAGTTAATGTCTCTTAAACAGGAGATTGTTGTTTGTAAACAGCCTAAAGCTCTATTAAAACAGTTTTGAAATTAAGGTTAATTTATGACTTTTTCATTACTTGTAAACCTCATTTAAATTCCATAATATATGACTTCTTACTGGAGTCTGAAGCATCCATGTAAGCTAAATTTAAAATTCTTTTGAAGATGTTGGACAACTAGAAGCAAAACATCTCTCCAGACAATAAGATTAGCCAATGGTTTTTTTTAAGAAATATAACTTGTTGTTACTGTTTTTGTGATGAAGCTATGATCAGCAATTAACAGAAAACCTACACTGAACTGCAAGGGGAAAGAAATTATCAAAGGAAGGAAGATTGTGTATAACATTTGGGAAACATTATATAATAACTTTGATGCTCATCAAAGCCTAAGGACTGCAGACTGCATTATAAACAATCATTAATTCATACCTTCTTCTGAAGCCCCTAAAAAGCTGTCTGATTTCCTTCTCTCTGGCTTGATGCTTTTTTCCCTTTTTCTATGCTTTTCACCAACTTCTTGATCATTGGTTGCTTTCTCCCTTTAAGAACAATGATTTGGGGCATTAAACCACATACATAACAGCCAGGGGCAGGACTGTACTCTGAAGGAAACATAGCAATTAGGAGTATCACAGTGTTCCCTTTGGGCCAGGTGTTGGTTTAAGAGCTCTAATGTACCGTTAACTTGCTTAATTCTCTTAACAACTATATGAAGTAGTTACCTTCAATGCCCCCATTGTGATAAGGAAACTGAGGCACAAAGGTATTACATACACCTACTAAGTCCTAGAGCTGGTATCTGACCTACACAGCCAACCTAATCAGACTCTGTTTTTAACCACTAGACAATATAGCTGGCCTCAAAGGGGGAAAAAAAAAAAACACCCTCATTTTATGTCGTAATTGGTGGTTTTGAAGAAGACCACCATTTGATCACCTTTCTCTGATATGAAATGTCTAAATAATTTGACTATCTTACAGTTTAAGAACAAATTTGTTAAACTTTTAAGCAGAAACCCCCATTCAACAATAAGCTCCTTAAAGGCAGAGTCATTGATCCCCCTGTGCACCTCCTGCCTTAGCACAGTGTTCAGCTCATTGTCAATGCTCAAGAGATGCTGGCTGAACCTAACACTATTTAGGGATTCTTTTTCTGCTTTCATTTCATGGACAGTAGAAACAAAATATGTAAAATGAGAAGGGCTGGGGATATAACTCAGTGCTTGCCCAACATGAGTAAGGCCCTAGGTTCAATCCCCAGCACTGCAAAAAGAGAGAGAGAGAGAGAGAGAGAATGAGAATTAAACAGAAAGGGTGAAAAGAGACTTTTTTCCTCTCTTAACTTCCACTAACAGAATCACAGGGTCAGAGGTGAGGAGGGGCTGGGGCTGTAGCTTAGTGGTAGAGCACTTGCCTAGCACATGTGAGGCACTGAGTCCGATTCTCAGTGCCACATAAAAATAAATAAATAGGGCTGGGGCTGTAGCTCGGGGGTAGAGCACTTGCTTAGAATGCATGAGGTGCTGGGTTTGATCCTCAGCACCAGATAAAAATAAAACAACAACAAAAAAAGGCATTCTGCCCATCTATAATTAAAAAAAAAAGAAAAATAAATAAAATAAAGGTATTGTGTCCATCTACAACTAAAAAATATTTAAAAAGAGTGGGAGGAGGTGTTTGAGTTATCTTCTGCCTGTGTCCAAATGCCCCAGATCAGAGTCTCATCCAGTCTCTTCTGAGCAGCAGTAGCCATTGTTGAAGTAACTGGAAAGCCAACTGCTCTCCCTATCCAGTGGCTGTGACCACTAGAAAGTCAGTGCTTTACTGAATACAAATCAGTTACTCTGTAATTTCTAGTCACTATTTCTGTCCTTTGGGGCAGAAGAGAGTAAGCTGACTCTCTTCACTTTACAGTATTTCAGGCATTTGAGGGAAGATATCAAATTCTCCACTCCATCTGCTCTTCTCAGGCTAAGCCTCCCCAGCTCCTTCAGCTGTTCTCATATGACCTGGTTTGCAGACCTGTGACTGTTCTGTGGTTACCCTATTCTGTTTATTAATATCTCATTAAATGTGGCACTAAAAAGTAGTCCCACATTGCACCCTAGGAGTGCTCTAAACAGCACATTACCGGTCTCAAACATCACCTTGATCTAATCAATACATTTCTGTCTATACAGCACTAATGTTGCATTGACCTTTTCAACAACTGCATCAACCAGAGCTTCAGAGAGTCATGTCGATGCCTTCAAGAATTTATTGAATTGTTACTATGTCTCAAGCTGCATGCTAAATGCTTGGTATACAAAACTAAGAATTCCTGCCATTGATGTAACTATAGTGAGTAAGAATTTCCAATTAAATTTTTTTTTTCAGGCCAAGTGTCCTAGGAGTACTCTGTTTTTGAATCTTTTACCTTCATCTTTTTTTTTTTTTAAAGATGCCCAGACTGGCCTTGAACTCCTGGGCTCAAGAGATCCTCCCTACTCAGCCTCCTGAGTAGCTGTGATTATAGACATGCACCATTGTGTCTAGCTTTATCTTTTTTTTTTTTTTTTTTTTTTTTGTACCAGGGATTGAACTAGGGGTACTCAACCACAGAGCCACATCCCCAGGCTTATTTTATGTTTTATGTAGAGGCAGAGTCTCACTGAGTTGTTTAGCACCTTGCTGTTGCTGAGGCTGGCTTTGAACTTGAGATTCTCCTGTCCCAACCTCAAGAGCTGCTGGGATTACCCTGTTATCTTTATCTGTCAATACCATTTTGAATCCCCAGTCTATCATCCATCACATTAGCACTCATTCCTAGATTTGTTATCTAAAAATTTGATAAATATGCCTTTCCTGATATAATTCAAATGACTGATGTAAAGGTTGAAATAAGTAGGGACAAAATACAGTAATCTTAGAGGCCTCTCCTATACAGATATCAATTTGCTAATCAATATCTTGAGCACTGTGGGTGACTGGAGGGAGAGAGACAAGTGTGAGAATGCAGACACTTGGAGTCAGGGCTGGCTTATCTATAGCAGTTTAATGCCATTACCAGACATTCATTCTCCAAGAAGTCTAAAACCTAGCCCCATTTCCTCAAAAAGAAGAAAATAGGAGTCTAATACTTCTATGCCTTAGGAAGTATATAAATTTTAAAGAAGAACCCCCAATGGGGAATACTAACCTTGTAGAGCCTTTGCGGGGGTCCTGCTGCTCCATGCTCTCCTCAGATGGCTGAAACCATCTTTCCAGATCTTCATCAAGAGTAGAATGAGCTCTATCCAAGGGAAAGTGAAGAGAATGGTGACAATAGTCTTTTTCCCTCTCCCTTGACAAGGAAACATAACACTCTATAGAGTGGCAAGAAACTTTAAAACCTGTGCTTTCTCTATACAGTTGAGGAAATGTAAGTTTGGTCAGACTGTATGTAGACTCACAGAGGTCACATAGATCTAATTTAAATATATACAAAATAGTCCCATAGTCCCTTGACAAAAAGCCATGGCATCCATGATATCACTGTTTCCCAATGTCAAATGCTGACTCTTGTCTCAATCTAGGTCATTAAGTCAGTTTCTACCTTAAGTCAAGATTGCATATGCTTTCTACTTATTCTTCTAAGAACTACCTCTGAGGCTAGAAGATGAAAGTAGGATGTTTTAAGAAAGCCTGAAAAATATCCCCCATCAAAAAAATATCTTCCACTCTAGCTTGGTCCCTAGAACGGACAAACCATTCATAGCACTGAAATGTCTGAGCATCTGTGGAGCATGTCTGTGGTAAGTACTGCCACCAGTTCTTTTGGAAAAGGATGAGACAATAACATTAGCTAACTTTTGACCATGTACAAAGAATTTTATGTTTGAATAGCCAAACCTAACTTGGTCTTCTTAAGCAATTATTCTTTTACCTTAAATTATGGCACAGATTTTTAATGACAGCATTTGGGGGAGATAGAAGGAACAGTTATATCACAGATCAAAATTTTCTAAAACATCCCTTGAAAAAAATTTTTTCCCCTTCTTGCTTCTTTCTTTTCTCTGTCTCTAACCCTCTCTCTATTTTCTTCTTAGATCCTAGGGCTCCAGTCTCCTCCTCTACTTCCCAGACCTTTCCTCTTCCAGGTCTCTCCTTTTTCCTTCTTATAAAGAATACCATATCCCTTGAAGAATATGACAGACACTAGATTCATTAACCAAAAGTTATTCAAAACACTCTTATTTGCTGCTGCCTTTTATAGCAGTTGGGATGTTAATTCAATTTCTGGTCTCCCTTGTACCCAATAGGGGTCATGTGTCAGTTTGATCTATTAGATAAAGTGGATGTGGGCTGGGAAGAGTTTCTTGGGAAATTTTGCTTTCCAGATAAAATGGGGCAGAATCAACTAATATATTCCTTTGTCTCACCCGCCTATATCTGCCTGGTGTGCAGATAGCTGCCATCTTGCAAATGGGAGTTGACAAGCCAGAAAGAGTTTCAGTTTTGTAAAATGATAAATGTGTGGAGAATTGTTGCATAACAATTTGAGTACAGATGCCCTTGATTTATATTGTAAATACTGTTAAGTTGTAAATACATTTCTTATTTAATACACCTAACCAACCAAACAGCAAGCTGAGCAAGACAGTACACTGTAGAGTGTTGAAAGCCACAGCCGAAGGGGCCCCAGCAAACTTCCAGCTGCCAGCAAACTTCCAGCTGCTGGCTGATGATTGGCTCACAGCAGCCCCAGCAACATCTAGCTGATTGGCTCCTCTGCGGTGATGCTCATTGGGCTGTTTCCCTGCCCTTTCAGACCACGGAGCTGCTCACTGGGGGACTTTTTTTGGCTCCGCCCACGTGACCCAGCCAATCCGCCTCAAGAGCAGGAGGATTGTGGGAGGTGGAGAGAGAGGCTTGGGTTGGAGAGAGAGGCTTGTGGAAAGCCGGTGGTGGCAGTTGGGGCTCTGAGGGTTTTTCCTGAGAGGCTGTTCTGTTTGGCTTGTGTGGTTCTAAAAATAAAGTTAGTTTCTTTTGACAAGTGGCTCCTGATTGTGCCCAGCCAGACTGTGGCAGTAGAGTATTAGTCATTTACCCTCATGATTGTGAGGATGACTGTGAACTATGGCTTGTTGCTACTGTCTGGAATTCAGAATATCATACCATATATTGCTATCCCAGGAAAAGATCATAAAGTCCTAAAAACATAGGTTGAACCATCATAAGTTGGGACCATATACATGCTTTTTAAAAAAATATATCTTTAGTTGTATATGGACATAATATCTTTATTTTATTTATTTTTTTATATGGAATTGAGAATTGAACCCAGTGCCTCACAGGTGCTAGGCAAGTGCTTTACCACTGAGCCACAACCCCAGTTCCAATCTGTATACTTAATATTACTGAACTATACACATAAAAATTATTAAGATGATAAATATTTTTAAAAATATTTTTAGTTGTAGTTGGACACAATACCTTTATTTATTTATTCTTATATGGTGCTGAGGATCGAGCCCAAGACCTCGCACGTGCTAGGCGAGCACTCTACTGCTTAGCCACAACCCCAGCCCAATACCTTTATTTTTATTTGGTATTGAAGATCTAACCCTACACCTCACACATGCTAGGCAAGTGCTCTACCACTGAGTCACAACCAAGATGGTAAATTTACCCCAAGATGGCAAATTTTATGTTATATTTATTTTACATATAATGTGTATGTATGTTGCATGTAAGTTTTATTAATGTATTTTACATGTAACATATATTATTTGTATTTTATCACAGTTAAATTTTTTAAAAAGCAGAAGACCTTTTAGGAATGGGAGTTATTAGGATAGTATGGGGAAAGATTGTTTTCCTCCTATTTGTCAATATCGTGGAAAACACTTAATATAAACAATGCAATTTTTAAAACCCTTTCAAAAGTCTAGCTTTTTCTATTACCTCTCTGTGTCCTCTTCTAGATCCTCAGTTTCTCTTGTCCAAAGCAAAATGTTATCATTTTTATTATGGGCAGTTTCTTGTTCTTCTAAATGCTTTTGATCTAAAAACAATTAAAAGAATTAGCTTTATTAGAATGAAAACATTAAGAAAGCCTGCCTTAAAACGGAGTATAGAAATTAAGGCCTATCAGTGTGGTTCCTTAAGTACGCAATGGACCAGCTCCTCTCTTCCCATTAGAGCAGGAGGACAGGTGGCAGTCTATAGGACACCTGTATTCACAACAGCTGCATCTGGGAGCTCTTTGGTGCCAGGTGAAGCTTTAGGAAATCTAGCCTGTGCCAAGGTTCAGAGATGGATAGAACAAGCAGAGGAAAGAAAGGTCACACAAAAGATAAGGCAAGCAGCCCTGAGAACAAACTGAATAAATTTACTTCTTAGAAATGTTTCTAGGTTGGAGCCCCAGGGAAGGAATGTGGGTGGGGAAGAAACCCTCTAATGTATGATAAGGATTTTACATATGCTATCTCATTTCATTTGGCCACCAGTCCCATAAAGGGAAGAGGACTAACATTTGCTAAATATTTTATGGATGTACCATGCACTGTTTGTGGAGCTATTATGTACATCATAATATAGGAATTATTATCCCCATTTTACAGATAAAGACAACTGAGACTCGGATATTAAACAGTTGGTCATATAACTGACTTAGGACAGTAGCACATATTCATAATTCCAACTACTCAGGAGGCAGAGGAAGGAAGAGCACAAGTTGGAGACCAGCTTCAGCAAATTAGCAAGGCCCTAATTTAGCAAGAAACTGTCTTAAAAGATAAAACTAAATAAATAAATAGGGGCATGTGGCTCAGAAGTCGAGAACCTTTAGGTTCAGTCCCTAACACTGCAAAAGCAAAAACCAGTAGAGTCAGAATTGAGGTGGAGTTGTGACTGACCTCAGGGTCACACTTCCCCGTATGTACTACTCTGTTTCCAAGGACAACATTACACCTAGAACCTGATGAAAAAATCTGAGAGTATATGCTCACCATTTGCAGTGATGCCCAGATCATGTACTGTGTTCTCATGCAACACTGTGGATGAATTCTGCTGCTGCTTCAGGTGCTCTGTCACAGTACAAAAGCAAAAGACAACTTATTCCTCCTTTGAATGACTCTAGGGCAGTGGTTCTCAAAGGGTGGTCCTCAGACCAGCAGCTCTGACTTAACCCAGGAACTTGATAGAAATGCAGATTCTTGGGCCTTATCCTAGACCTACTGAATCTAAAACTCTGGCAGTATGGTCCAGCAATCTGTGTATTATCAAGACCTTCAAGATGCCTGATAAAGTTGGAGGACTACTACTTTAGGACATTCCAAATTTGAAGGAAATTTTTCAAGTAAGACAAAAAAAGATGATTATGGTGATGCAGAGGATAGGTAATACTTTGCCGTACCCTATGTACTCAGGATTAATGTTCACACAGTCTTTTTTGTGTGTATGTATGGTGCTGGGGATTGAAGCCAGGGCCTTGTGCATGTGAGGCTAATGTTCACAATCTTTACAACAACCCTATGCAACTGACTGCATTATTGTTAATTGTGTTTAGTGAATGAGGAAATTAGGGTTAAGAAACTTGCCTAAAACCTAAGAAAGGTTAAAGAACTTGCCTAAAATCACACAGATAATCAGTGGGAGGATTGAGATTTGAATCCAGGCAGTTCTAACTCTAAGGTTTATGCTCCTAATCTCTATGTTATACTCTGTAAAAGAAATTTTGTTACAACATCAGAATAATTCAAATGTTTCCTCATCGCTATTGGCCTATGGAAAGACAAGAGGCAGAGAATATCCATTATTTCCATTTCCTAAAGAAATACTTACTAAAGACAAGCATCTGCTAAAATCAGTGGCTGCTCTGCATTTATTAAGTGCTCAGTCTCCTCAAAGTACTCTCCAGTGCAGAGCAAAAAGTCAGTTGCAGGGAGCACAGGCAGACCACCCTGAGCTTGCTGGTCTTGTTCTGGGAAGGTACAAGTTGGCTCCCTTCCTGCTGAGTAGGAAAGAGGTCCTACCTCACAGAGCTTGGCATCAAAGGGCCCTATAAGATCATTTTATATAGTTTGAAATTAAAAATCCATTTTAATCCTGATTAGTCCCTTGTTGATCTTAAATGATTATCTATATCTTAGGGTTCTAAAATTTCCCGTGTAGGTTCTTGTCAGGAATCTATAGAGATTTGAATGTGGGTCCTCCAAAAGAGTAACAGCAGGTCATTCCCCAGAAATCTCTTTAGGGGAAACAATACATATACAATAGCCAGGTGAGTAAACCCATTATCAGGACAAACTACTCAAAAGCCCTCTACTTGATTATTTGCATAAGGCAGCCAGGACCTCCTAGAGGGAGAAGGCAGTGAACTTTTCCCCCTTGATTTATCATTAGGGAGTTCTTCAGTTGAGTAGGTACCTCCCATTTCTTCAAGGCCTAATGGGTCTAGTGTGGGGGAGGGGGAGTGCACAAACCCAAAATCTAATTTCCTTGAGGAAGAATGAGTGTGGATTGGTGACTCAGGCTCTGATAAAAGTTCCAAGGGTTTTTCTAAAACTGTAATGCTTTAGACAGAAGCATTAGAATCACGTAGTAAGGCTGAGAAGAGTCACTTCTTCATATGGATATCTTTACGCAGTCCTGTAAGCGATGAACACAGGGCCAGTACAAAGAGGTCTGGCCTCCTTCAGACAAGTAATTTTGGGTATTGGGGAAGGACTAAGAGAGAAAAAGGACAGGGATTTCATGTGTGGGTGATCTTAAAAGACTGCTTGCAGTCTGAGTTTATGGAAGGCTTCTTACTACTTGCATAGAAAACTCAATTCTTTTATTTTATAAACATTTATTGAGTTCTTTTTATATACCAGGCTCTGTTCTAGACTCTGGGGAATCAAACAACTAACAAAAGAGACAATTCCTTGAGGGGGAGAGAGACAAAATTAAAAAAGGATCCTCTGCTTTTTGTATTTCTGGAAAATTACTGACCCATTCAAAGTGACATCACCTAGAAATCTGCCCCAGATAATTGCCATAAGTGAAATGACTGTGCTGGGGTATGTACCATGAGACCAGAACCCAGGAGGAAACCTGGGAACACAGCTGCTACACTGGAGAAAGTGAGAGAGGGTTCACATGTGGTAACTACAGTAGAAGGACAGCAGGATCCACGGGCAAGTATTGATTACAGTCAAACTTGCAAGTACCTATTTAAGCCTACTTTGTATTTCTGGAAAATTACGCCATTGCTAAGGAACAAATGATACTAAAAATCTACTTAAGCAGTACACATGTGGGATAACCTCCAATCTCAACAGTTCTGTTATTTTAAGAAGAGCAACTACAGAGGAAGAATTTGCCGAGATTAACTAGAGAGTCTCAGAGGTAGAAAGTAGAGAGGTAGGGGTATGGGCCTAAGAGCCTGACCCATAAAAGCCTGTGACCTATATGACCCTGTGGCACTGAAGGCAAGGTTAAGTGAGGCAACAAAAGGCTATAGGGTTGGGGGTGTGCTCAGTGGTGCAGCACTTGCCCAGCATGTGCAAGGCCCTGGGTTTAATCCCCAGTACTGCAAAAATAAAATAAAAAAGGAAAGGGCCTGTAACTACGGGAAAAGAAACCAAGCAAGGAAGGTTTTAGAAGCTGACTGGATCCACTTAAACATGTCAAAGAACAGGGTCTGAGGGTTATAAGGAGACTAGAAGGCAGCTGGTCCTAGAGTCAGACCAATAAGCTCTCACTTCTTATGAGACTCAAAACCTCAGAGACTCTGAAAACCAACTAGTGTCCAGGAAGTTCTCTACAAGCTCCATAGCAAGAATAGGACCATCAAAAAAACAATTAAACTCTCACAAATCTGATGAGAGGCATCCCCTAAGGGCAAGGGGATGGTCCATCAAGCTGCTGGGGAAGCAGACTACCTGCCTGCAAATTTTTCGATAACCTTGCATCATTTCTTCACACCAACCCAAATGTAAATAAAATTGAGTTGGTACTACTCAGTCTCTGCCTGAAATGGAAAATTCTAGTCTCATTAAATTTTATGACACTGACTCTTAGGAAAGGGATTTACCCACAATTTCAATACTTTGAATGCCTCCACTCAGGCCTCCAAGGAATGGCTGGTTTGGTTTAAAAAGGAGATAAGAGTTTCTTTAATAAAAGAAGTTTATCATCATAAATCATTTTAATATTTTTATTTCCCCTCACAATCATCACCATTGCCTTTAAGAAACAAAATATAACAGATTCAGGCCAATATCCCAGCTAAGTTGTTGTGGTCCCTTTTATTGGAAAGCTGTCCCTTTCTGATTTTATCATTCAACCAGAACTTTGTAGGCCCTTTCTATTAGTGCCCACATCTGAGATAAGGAAACCATGCTGTGGTCAGTGACAATAGCTGACAAGACCAAGTGTATTTTGTATTAAATGTTCCTGTTATGGTTTAGGTCTGGAATGTCCCCCACAATCTTCTGTGTTAAAGGTTTCATTCCCAGTGCAGCACTGTTTAGGGAGAGGTTTGGGAAAATGATTGGATCATGAGGGTTCTGACTTATTATTAGTAGGTCACTGGGGGCATGTCCTTGGGGACTTTATCTTGTCTCTAGTCCCTTCTTCTGTCTTTCTCTCTGCTTCCCGGTTGCCACAAGCTGAGCAGCTTTCCCCTACCACACCTTTTCACCATGATATTCTGTCTCACCTCAGGCCCAGAGTAATGTAATTGGTCAATCATGAAATGAAACCATGAGCCAAAATAAACCTTTCCTCTTCCGAGTTGTTTGTGTCATATACTTTAGTCACAGTGATGAAAAGCTGGCTAACAGTCTCTTACCAATTTCGTCAAGTAGCTCCTGAGATGGTGGTGGTAGCTCATCAATGTGATGCTGTGAAATGGCTTCCATTAGTTCTTTAAAAAGATAAAGGGAGAAATGACTTAACACCTTCCTGAATCTGAAGTGGACTTTTCTAAGCCCCCTCATGAATTTGACTGAGGATTTCCAATGATGAAATAAATAAAGGGTGAAAGAAAGTCTTTTATATAACAGTCCTAATAGATACCTCCTTCTCTTAAATAATTTTCTTAGTAGAGACCTCTCTTATTCTATCCCACTTACCTCAGTATGGGTTGGCCTGTGCCCCTTCCTTTGCTAAGGATATTTGAAGTAGGTTCTTACTAAGAGGCTGGGAGGTCCAATCTGGATCAGAATTGCTTAAGGAATATAGAGGTTATAGACCAGCCAAAATGGACAAAACACAAAGTAGAAGGCCTTTGTCTATAAATTTTCAGGCCAGGGGATATAAAAGCAACTGTACTTCAGGTCTTGCCCCAAGAGCTCAATTATAATAACAACCCCTCAATATAAGACAAAATCCATTCCCGGAGGGAAAATTTCAAGAGTTGTTCCAAAGACTTAAGATATTAAAATTAATGTAATGAAAGCAAGAGTTGTAAAAACATCAGATCCTTTGGGCTGCGGATGTAACTCAGTTGTAGAGCACTTGTCTAGCATATGTGAGGCATGGGTTCAACTTCCAATACCCCACCACCCACCAAAAAAAAAATCCTTAACAGTATCAGACGCTTTTGATTAAAAAACTGTTTTCTAAGAATCTGTCCTGAGAAAAGGATCAGAAGTATAGTTAAAGATTTATGTATACAGAGCAAAAAGTTGGAAAGCAACATAAATCTTTGACATTAGGAAAGAGTTAAATAACACTGACTATTAAATAGAATGGACTTTAAATAGAATGGATTATTATGTAGTTATTTTATATATATATATATATATATATAAAATATATATATATAAAAATAAATAGTTTTTAATGACAAGGGAAAATACTCAAAATGCAGTTATTCCTCAGTATCTATAAGGGACTGATTCTAGGATCTCTTCTACCTGTGGGTATCAAAATTCATGGACACTTAAGTCTCTTACATAAAATGGTACAGTATTTGCATATAATCTTTGTATATCCTCCCATATACTTTAAATCATCTCTAGATTACTTACAATAATAATACATTATAAATGCTATGTAAATAGTCATTTTACTGTATTGTTAAGGGAATAAGAACAGAAAAAGAGCATATACATGTTCAGAACAATTTTCTTCAAATATTTTTGACTTGCTGTTGGTTAAATTTGTGGATGTGGTACTCACAGAGAAGGAGGTTAAGTACATATCATCAAGGAAAAAAAGCAGTCTAGAACTGATATGCAACTATGCTATTTTTTAATATATTTCTAAATCTGTGAGAAAGATATATACTAAAATTATACATGAAATTTAAAAATTACAGTTATATAATTATTTTATTTTTTAAGCTTTGCTTTATTCTCCAAGTTTTCTATAACAAATCTGTTTCACAATCGGAGGAAATAGCATTTTTGTTTGAACCAAATATAGCTTCGACTTAAGTCTCCTTAAATTGGCTAACTATTATGAACTTCTACTTTGATATGACACACAGGTACCTTTAGGCAGGCTCCTTCTCTGGGTGGCTTGGGTTGATGTGTCAGATGTGGTAGCCATATTAGAGGAACCAACTACAGCACATGCAGACAATCTTTTCTACAAGTGAGATGTAAAAATAGCAACTGACACATGTGTTGAGTAAAAAAGTACATGCAGTTCAATCATTTCCACTTTTTAAAGAAATATTTTTTAGTTGTTGATCAACCTTTATTTTATTTATTTATTTTTATGTGGTGCTGGGGATCAAACCCAGTGCCTCACACATGCTAGGCAAGTGCTCTACCACTAAGCTACAACCCCAACCCTTATTTCCACTTTTTTTTAAAAATTGATTTTATTTTTTATATACATGACAGCAGAATGCATTGCAATTCTTATTACACATATAGAGCATAATTTTTCATATCTCTGTTTGTATAATAAAGTATGTTCCCACCAATTCATGTCTTCATACATGTACTTTGGATAATGATATCCATCACATTCCACCATCATTGCTAACCCCTTGCCCCCTCCCTTCCACTCCCACACCTCTGCCCTATCTAGAGTTCCTCTATTCCTCCCATGCTCCCCCTCCCTAACCCTCTAGGAGTCAGGCTCCTTAGAGAAAACATTTGGCATTTGTTTTTTTTGGGATTGGCTAACTTCACTTAGCATTATCTTCTCCAACTCCATCCATTTACCTGCAAATGCCATGATTTTATTCTCTTTTATTGCTGAGTAATATTCCATTGTGTATATATGCCACATTTTTTAAATCCATTCATCTACTGAAGGGCATCTAGGTTGGTTCCACAGTTTAGCTATTGTGAATTGTGCTGCTATAAACATTGATGTGGCTGTATCCCTATAGTATGCTGTTTTTAACTCCTTTGGGTATAGACTGAGGATAGGAATAGCTGAGGCTGGGTCACATGGTGGTTCCATTCCCAGTTTTCCAAGGAATCTCCATACTGCTTTCCATATTGGTTGCACCAATTTGCAGTCCCACCAGCAATGTATGAGTGTGCCTCTTCCCCCACATCCTCGCCAATACTTATTATTGTTTATCTTTATAATAGTTGCCATTCTGACTGGAGTGAGATGATATCTTAGAGTAGTTTTGATTTGCATTTCTCTAATTGCTAGAGATGATAAACATTTTTTCATATATTTGTTGATTGATTGTATATCCTCTTTGAGAAGTGTCCTTGGCCCATTTATTGACTGGGTTATTTGTGTGGTTTTTTGGTACTTAGCTTTTTTTTTTGAGAGAGAGTTTTTTTTTTGTTTTGTTTTGTTTTTAAATTACTGTTTTTTGTTTTTTTTTTTATTTTTTAGTTATCGGCAGACACAACATCTTTGTATGTGGTGCTGAGGATCGAACCCGGGCCGCACGAATGCCAGGCAAGCACGCTACCGCTTGAGCCACATCCCAGCCCCGAGAGAGAGTTTTTTAATATTCTTTTTTTTTTTTAGTTTTCGGTGGACACAACATCTTTATTTTATTTTTATGTGGTGCTGAGGATCGAACCCAGGGCCTTACATGCACTAGGCGAGTGCTCTGCTGCTGAGCCACAACCCCAGCCCATTCACTTTTTTATCTAGTAAGTTAAACTCATTCAACAGACCTCCTCTGGAAGCCTTCTCATCCCTTTCTGCCTCAGTACTTACCTCTGTGTTACATTAGGCCTCTCTTTCTCTCTAGACAATGAGCAACTCTGAAGAAAAGTATATGTCTTAGATGACTGGAAGAGGGTCTGACATGATGCCTGGCACTCAGAATCTATTTAGTCAACAGTCTGTTGAATAAAAGGGTAAATTCCTTACCATTTCCCAACTCCTTTATTTATTTATTTAGCTGTACTAAGGATTGAACACAGGCCTTATGCATGATAGGCAAGTGCTGTACTATTGAGCTATATGCCTATTCCTTTTTATTTTTGAGACAGAGTCTCACCAACTCACTCAGGCTGGCCTCAAACTTGCAATTCTCTTGCCTGAGCCTCCCAAATATCTGGGATTATAGATGTGCACCACTGTACTTGGTTCATTTCTTTAGATCTGAGTAAATGTTTTGTGAGCCTAATGCCCAAAGAAGATGACAATTAATTTTTTCATTGAGGGCCAAAGCAAATAATCAATCTGTCCATAGACGATACTATTAGTAAGCAGTATGAAGTAAGAAATCTGTAGTTTTCTCAAAAAAAAATATACACGTAAAATATGAGAGAGACATGGGGCTGGGATTGTGGCTCATTGGTAGAGCACTTGCCTCATACATGTGAGGCACTGGGTTTGATCCTCAGCACCACATAAAAACAAATAAACAAAATAAGGATATTGTATCCATTTACAACTAAATAATATATATTAAAAAAAAAACACTAGGGAGATAGAGAGGAGGAAAAAAGAGGTCAAAAAAGGATAGGATACAATTAAGTGTTTTTCCTGCAGATTATCAGTTCAGGAGTTCAGAGAAGAGGAAAAGCAATCAATACTCTCAGGGAAGTAACCAATGGATGCATCAAAGAGAAAGTAAATAAGCCTCCTACAATACAGATTTAGGCAAAGAGCCCCAGGGAAGCCTGGAGAAGAACCAGCTTATTTCTTGCTGTGTAATTAATTTGGAAAAATCTTGGCCCTTCATATCTCTGAGCCCCTTGGGCTGATCCTGTGAGTGCATGAGCCTGTGAGAGTATAAAGCAGAATTGGTAAACTTACCAGATTGATCAGTTTTGGAGCAGGAGAGTCAGAGGAAGTAAGGAGAGAATCCAGGCTCTTTGCTTTTTCTCGAATGGTTATAAATTTATCAGAAAAAAATCGAATAGATTCTTGGCTATTCCAGCAAGAGGTAGACCTTGTTTGATCCTGAAGTGTGATACTTTCTAGGCAGTCTTTATACTGACTGTCAGATGAAGAAATTGACCCTATTGGAGAAAAAAAGGTGGTTAGTGTCTGAATTCTTTACATTACAAATGAAACACTCAAAATTCTTTAACTATGCAGATTTCCCAAAGTTGCTAACAACTGAAATAATCACTAATCTGAGACCTAGCTCCTCAAGTTATAAAAAATGAGAATATTTAAACCTGGCTATCAAAATAAAATAAAGGGAAATTAGACCACAAATATACTGGAAATATGGACACTAAAGAAAATATATTTGATGCTGGCTGTATATGGTTGTAGGACTCAAGAACTATAGATATTTAAGCACTGTTTGTTTTAAATTGAAAACTCTATAGACAATCAAATTTCTACACTAAATTCAGTAGTGCTCAGAGTACAGAATAGACCTTACATTTGCATGTCCCTACTACTGTAACAGCTTCTTAATCATCACCACCACCACTACAACCACCACTACCTTGCCTCCCATGGGATTATTCCCTCCAGCTTTGGCCCTAAGTAAATACTTTTGGTCTGGGAGAAAACAGCCATCAGGTCTGATCTCCGGCCTGACTTCCCAGAGCTAATGGGCAGAGGTTGTGAGTTCGTTTCCCAAAACACTTCTCCCTGTTCATGATTACCTGGGCTAAGTGGAGTGCTGACACTAGTAGGTGCATGGTTTATTTTGGGTGTCTTGCATGAGGCTTTCTTAAAAGAGCTATCTTGTTCATAGGAGATACTAGACAGGTCTTGAATATCTGTCAATGATCTAAAGAATTAAGAGAACACACAGTAATTCTGAGAAGATGTTTAGAAAAATCAAGTAATATATTCTTGACAAGAATTTTTTTTTTGGGGGGGGGGGTACCAGGGATTGAACTCAGGGGCACTCAACCACTGAGCCACTTCCCTAGCCCTATTTTGTATTTTACTTTGAACTTGTGATCCTCCTGTTTTAGCCTCCCAAGCTGCTGGGATTACAGGCATGCACCACCACACCCAGCAACAAGAATTTTTAAAGTATATTCTTGACAAAAATCTTTGTCAATAGATCAGAATTAAAGAATGTCTTAAACAGAATGTCAGAGTCAGGTACAGTGGCATGTGCCTACTGTCTCAGGTACTTGAGAGTCCAGGAGTTCAAGACCAGCCTGGGCAGCAAAACAAGACTCTGGGTCAAACAAGAAAAAAGAAAAGGAGGAGGAGATGCAGGGAGAAGAGGAGGAGGAAAAAGAGAAGAAATAAAAAGAAAGAGGAAGAAGATAAGGATGAGGATAAGGAGAAGGAGGCGGGAAGAAAGAGAGGGGGGAAAAGGAGAAGGAAAGGGAGAAGGGAAAGGCAAAGAGGGAGAAGTGTGAGGGGAAGTAGAAAGGAGAAGAGGGAAAGGAAGCCAGATGAGGAAAAGGAGGAGAGAGAATATTAGAGAAACCTTAAAAAAGAAATACTAACTTTAAAGACATATTGGCAGCTAAAAATAGATAAAAGGATATTTATGTGGAAGGCAGATTTAATCTATCACAAACATAAACTTTTATTACCATCATCACCATCACTATATTTCCTTGATTATAAGATGCTATTAATTATAAACCACATCATCAGTTTAGTAACAGTTTCCTGGTAAATGAAGGAACATACATTAAATCCACACATAAAAACTGAAAGATGTATATTCTTTTTTTTTTTTTTTTTAGTTGTCTATGGATCTTTATTTATTTATATGTGGTGCTGAGAATTGAACCCAGTGCCTCACACATGCTAGGCAAGTGCTCCACCACTGAGCTACAACCTCAGCCCAACATGCAGATTCTTACAACAAGGAAATATTATTTCCATAAAACCAATACTTTACACAAGCATTCTTAGGCTACTCTTTGGTGGCCATACATGTCTTTCTCTTTCAGTTCCTTTGGTGATTCCTTTAATGTCTCTTCTTGTTTACCTTCAGTACTGTGAGGGATAAAGAAAGAAAATCAATGTCAACCAAATGCACTAAGTTAATACAAGAGACCAGTTTATTGACCCAGTAAGAAACAGTAGAAAGGGCACAAAGCTAGAAGTGAAAAGTGTGGGTTCTGGCTCTACTTCTAACTAGCTACAAGTTCTCTGATATGTCTGGGCCTCAGTTCTTCTTCAGAGATTGACTACTCTATAAGGGTCAGCCCAGTCCTGAAATCAACCAATAACTCAATATGACAATGAGGAAATTCCTAAGAAAATCAATGGAGCACAGGAACTTTGTAGGGAGGTAAATGTTGGAGCAAGGGGCACAACTAAGAAGATTTAGCAACTATGAGACAGCTTCCTGCTATAGAATACCAAGAAAGGTCAAGAGAGGCTTGTGCCAAAAAATGGCAAGAAAATATTGAAGATGAACTTGGCCCATTTCTATTTCAACTAATATTTAAGATTCAATTTCTATACTCACTGAACACTAACTATAAGCAGATCCCATGCTAAATTCTTCCATGTTTTAACATTTTTAATTTTTGCAACAATCCTGTAAGACCAATGGTATAAAGGAAAGAATGTGGATTTTAGGTTGACTTTTTTTTTTTTTTTTTTTTTTTTTTTTAAATATTTATTTATTTATTTTTCGGTGGACACAACATCTTTGTTTGTATGTGGTGCTGAGGATTGAACCCGGGCCGCACGCATGCCAGGCGAGCGCGCTACCACTTGAGCCACATCCCCAGCCCCTTTAGGTTGACTTTTTAACTTTATTAATTCTGTTCACCAAAATGTATCTCCTCCTAGGCACACAGTGAAACAGCACATTTGGGGGCTCTTAATTTACATAAATGATTATAAGACTTGTTTTAACCAATGAAATATGAGTGAAAGTAATGAGTTACTTCTGGACAGAGACTTGAAAAGTCTGTGCACAATTCACCGGGTTCCATTTTTCCTGTCTTGGTGATCAAGGATGCACAAAGATGGCGCCTCCCCGAGTCCACATCCCTAATAAAAGGTTATATAGTTCAGAACATCCCTGGACAACCTATGAGCCATGAATATGAAGCATGAACAAGAAATAAACTTTTTTCAGGCTTGGTAGTGTACACCTTTAATGCCAGCTAGGAGGCTGAGGCAGGAAGATAAAATTCAAAGATAGTCTCAACAATTTATCGAGGCCCTAAGCCACTAGATAAGACCCTGTCTCAAAACAGAAAATAAAAAGGGATGGGGGGCTGTGGCTCAGTTTGAGAATGCTTCCCCGGCACATGTGAGGCCCTGGGTTCAATTCTCAGCACCACATACAAATAAATTAAATAAAGGTCCATCAATGACTAAAAAAAATATTTTTAAAAAAAGGGGGCCTGGGGATGTGGCTTAGTGATTAAGTGCCACTGGGTTCAATATCTAGTACCCTTCCCCCCAAAAGAAAGAAACTTCAGTTGTTTTAAACCACTAAAATTTAGGGGTCTTATATAGTATAATCTGCTCAATCCTGAATGATTAGAAATGTGAACTTAGAAATATTTAAACTTTCTGAATTTTGTCCCACCCTCACCACATCTTTTTTTTTTTTTTTTTGGCGGAGGTGGTGGGGAGGGGGGTGGTACACAGATTGAACTCAGAAGCATTCAACCACTGAGCCACATCCACGGCCCTATTTTGTATTTTATTTAGAGACAGGGTCCTACAGAGTTGCTTAGCTGGCTTTGAACTCACAATCCTCGTGCTTCAGCCTCCTGAGCTGCTGGGATTACAGGCATACCTACCACGCCCTACTATTTTTAATAATTCTAACATTTTCAAGAATTTTATGTAAATGGAATGAAACAATAAATAACTTTTGGGGATATCTTCTTCCTGTAAGCATAATTCTCTACAGATTTATATATGTGTGGGCTGGGGATGTGGCTCAAGCGGTAGCGCGCTCGCCTGACATGTGTGCGGCCCAGGTTCGATCCTCAGCACCACATACAAACAAAGATGTTGTGTCCTCTGAAAACTAAAAAATAAATATTAAAACTCTCTCTCTAAAAAAAAAAAAAAAAAAAGAGAGAGAGAGATTTATACATGTGTTGCATGTATCCATAGCTCATTCCTCTTTAATGCTGAGTAGTACCCTTTGGTATAGATGTTCCACAGTCTGGTTCATCATACATAGGATGATGACATGTGGGTTTCTGATTTGGAGTTTTTACAAATGCATTTTCCAATAAATATTTGTGTACATTTTTTATATATTTATTTTTAAGTTGTAGTTGGACATAATACCTTTATTTTATTTATTTACTTTTATGTGTGCCAAGGATCGAACCCAGGGCCTTGCACATGCTAGGCCAGTGCTCTTCTGCTGAGCCACAACCCCAGCCCTGGGTACATTGTTTTATTGTAAACACTAAGTCTTCATTTCTCTAGGACAGATGCTCAGAAGTTACAGAATTACTTTTAATTCCAATTTCAACATTCTTTATTTTATTATTTTATTTTTTTGTAGATGGACACAATACCTTCATTTATTTATTTTTATATGGTGCTGAGGATCAAACCCAGTACCTCATACGTGCTAGGCAAGCGCTCTATCACTGAACTACAACCCCAGATGTCAACATTCTTATCCCTATTTACAGATGAGGATACAGAAGAGGGAAGGGACATGTTACCAAGGTCACATGAATAGAATGTCAGAGTCAGGATCTGCATACAGATAATGATTTCTACCCCTTAAATTCTGTTTAACAAGTCCTAAAAAAGTTAAGGTGTTCAAAATTAATATTTGTAAGATAGGGGAAAACACATTTGAAAACAAGTAATGAATGCATAAGTATGTGGCTTTCTCAACATTAACATTGCTTCTGAGTATGAAACTGAATAAGACACAATGCCCATATGTTTGTATAAGATACAATAGTCCATACCTTTGTATAGTTTGGAACTGAGGCCTGGTCAAAATCTCAGCATTCCTTCCAAGGATTTTTCTCATTTGGAATATTTCCTTACCTTAAAGAATAAAGAAATGTATTTTTACTAATACAGATTATTATCTTCATTTTCTAGAATTTTCCTTGATCTAGTCTAGAATGAAAAATAATCTGCATAGAAAAGTACTTCCCTATTTGGGTTTGAATTGAATGTTGTATAGAAGGTTTTTTGCTCTGAAAGTTTATTTTCCTTGATCAGAGGGGAGAACTATATTCTGACACTCAGAATACAATTAAGCTATTTACTGGCCTTTCAGTTATAACCACACAGTTATTTCTAGAGACAAATGTTGTTTGTCTTTTCAAGAATGCTAACTGACCCAGTTCCAGTCAATGGACACCAGGGGGCGGTGAAACCAAGAATGGTTTGTTCACTAAAGCTACCAAACAGAAAATATTACATGGGCATTCCCAGAGAGTTAACTGTGCCTCTTAGCCATCAAATATCCTCTAAAGTGAGGGGGCAGAGAGTGGGGTCTTGAATATGAGGAGCTAGTTTGACTGTCTTGTTTTCCTTAGCATCAAGTGTCTGAAGTTATTCCTCCCCAATTCTCTGGAAAATGCTTTCCAGATATCTAGGCAAATAGAAGTAGTATCCATTTTCCTTACCAGTATTAACTATTCTAGTTTATGAAGATGGGGGCATACAGAGCAGCCTGCCCTGATTCCAAATGCTTCAAACTCCCCATACCTATCCTACTCCTTAGGGGCAGGTGATCTGGTAGGCACTAGGAATGCATACCAGAATAATCCCACTTTTAGCAGATAGATACCAAGAAGCTCTAAAACACTCACCAGTAGAGAAACATTGGGGTTCTTCTTCCTTCAACATCCCCCCCCACCTTTTGTACTTGGGATGGAATCCAGGGGAGCTTTACCTCTGAGCTGCATGCCTAGTCCTTTTTATTTTTTGAGACAGAGTCTTGCTAAATTGCAAACTTGCAATTCTCCTACCTCAGTCTTCAAGTTGCTGGGACTATAGGCATGTACCACTGTGTCCAGCTTCCTGTGACTCTCTTAAAATGATAAACACGTAGATAGCATAAACTTTTAAAAAATATTTCCTAATAAGCACAACTAGAACCGAAGAGATTTTTTAAAAGTCTGACCCCCTCTCCTTTATACTAGGGGAGAGTGGGGCCCTGGGATGAAGTGGCTTGTTCAAGGTTACGCAGAAAAAAATTGATGGCAGAACAATAGTTTAGAACCTATCATGTGGAGCTGGGGATGTGCCTCTGTGGTGCAGTGCTTGCCTACCATGTGGAAGGCCCTGGGCTCAATCCCTAGTATCGTACAAATAGTATTGATTATATATATATATATCATTAGGCTGGTGAGGAGCAGAGGAGTCAATCTAATAAGGGGAGATCACTGTGCCTTGTTTTCTTCATCTGCAAAATGGTCTTGATGAAGTTATCTCTAAGGTCACTTCCAGCTCTACATATCCATGATCCAAAAGAAAGCAAAGGCCAATGGCTATCAAATGAATCTGCCCTAGGGCTTACCACAGACTGGAGGTTGGGCAAAGGCACCTTGTATTTCTTCAAAGTCCTTTTCTATGGGACTTGAGGTCTACAAAGAATAAAAGAAGAGTAAAGAAAGAAGATTCAATTGAGGCATAAATATAAAAAATTTCAGAAGGAACTGAAAAATTATTGAAAATTATTGAAGCTGGGTAAGAGTTCCATTGGGCAGAGCATACTGTTCTTTCTGACTTTGATTTCTTTTTCTTTTTCTTTTGTGGCACTCAAGCCCTTACACATGGTAGGCAAGTGCTTTACCATAGCCCTCTTGATCCTAAAGTCCCTACATCTTTTATAGGAAAAGAACAAACCTGTCGGAGGGTGGAGGATGGGAAAGGCAGCGGAGCACAAGACACTAGTATGGCAATATGTAAATCAATGGATGTGTAACTGATGTGATTCTGCAATCTGTGTATGGGGTGAAGGTGGGAGTTCATAACCCACTTGAATCAAAGTGTGGAATATGATATGTCAAACAAACAAACAAACAAAAAGAACAAACCTGCTTCACAGATATTATTTATTTATGGTATTTCTCTCAGCAACAAGCCATCCCTCCATCTCCTATCGTGAAGAGGAATTTTGTGACTTTATTTATATCCCTCTCTCCTGCTCATTCCAATCTCCCAACAAATTAGAAGAGAGGACATGTATGTGTGCTATGTGTATCCTACATGAGTGTGTATGTTTTAAAAATATTTTTACTAAAGATTTATTAATATTTCAGTCTATGCACAGTTAAATAAAGAATACTTAAAGGATTGTTAATAAGGGAAAACTGTTCCGGGTTTTCAGAAGTGGAAACAAGTAATAATCATACTTTCTAAAATGTTGTTGTTATTGTTGTCAATGGACCTTTAGTTTATTTATTTATGTTATGCTAAGAATCGAACCCAGTGCCTCACACATGCTAAGCAAGCACTCTACCACTGAGCTACAACCCCAGCCCATGTAATAATTATACTTTTGATGCATTCTGAATTCTTCTTGTCAGTCAAATGCTGTGACTTTCCTTTCCTCCACCCCACCTTTCATACTGATAAAAAGATTTTCCAAAACAGTAGCAGAGATTGGGGAGAGATGGGGAAGAAATCATATAAGTAATAAAAGAATCCAATTAATTTCATTTTACATGTGAAAATACTCTGTACAAGCAGGTTCATGCAAAAGCTAGTAGACTCCCAAGAAAACCTGAGTACTGAACAGTCTCATGTTTTTTGCTGAATGCTTCCTTCTGTCCTGGTTCTCCTGCCACTAAAGCTTGGCAAACTGGATTTAATTACTTACATCTGCAAGCCACCAGTTCTTCGTAGAGAAGAATGACAACTTTGTTCTTTTCCCCACAGAAAAAACACATGAATCAGACACCATGAATGAAAGAAAGTATTTAGAAAAAAGTACAAAGTGCTGTACAGATGCAGATACCTTAATTTGGGGGAGAAATTGCATATGACCTTTCATTTTAAAAACTCTTATTTTTCAAAATTTTAAAATCATGTATGCAAACACTAGTAAGTGGGCATTGGATACGTCTATGTGTAAACTAGTTTTCTTAATTAAAATGATCTATTTTTTTAAAAAAGATTTTTTAGTTGTCAATAGTCCTTATTTATTTATATGCAGTGCTGAGAATCGAACCCAGGGCCTACACGTGCTAGGCAAGCACTCTACCACTGAGCTACAACCCCAACCCAATAAAAATGATTTAAAAGGAACAAAGCAAAAGAAAAACTTGAAAACATACTGAATGTGATTTTTACCTCTAGAGCTAAGTTTTCTTGAACAGTAGAGGAGTAAAAATACTCATATTCTGGAGTTAAAAATTCATCTGTTATGTCCTCAGAAGATTCTGGTGAACAAGTTGATTGCACAGATTGGTCCTATTAATAATACAGGAAATCACTTTTAAGTCGCTATTTATTATAAGCAAATGTCTTTACAGCAAAACACAGTGTTAAAAAAATGTCATCTAAAACTACCCAGCAGTCAGCTCATGCACTTAACTTGAGTGCTCTGCCTGCCTTTGTGGTGGGTTAAGGTGGCTATGAACTGCTGGGAGTAAGTATGGAAGAACAATATTCCTGAGTCTCAGCATCTAATATGCAGAATGGGTGCAGATTAGGGAAACACTGCTCAAAACTCTTTGACAACTCAAGCTGGAGATCGAATTTAAACACCCTGATCCCGCAAAGGCACAGAAATGGTCTGCATGTTGGCATCATGGTACACATGAGGAGACTGAGGCTCCTTAGTACTTGGAAGTCCTTCAGGTATTACAGTTTAGAGGCAAGAGAATGAGCATGACTTTTGGAACAACAATGCAATCTCAATAATAAAAAATAAAATCTAAATATTAAAAAGTACAGAGCATATCCATTCTACCCTTCCTTTTTCTGCTTATTTTGCTACATTGAAGCCCTGACTACCACAGCATCAGTCAACTTTCTTTTCCCTACCTTCAGACATCTCTTTGCAGACATTTTGTGACTTATTTCCTTGGACACTGCTTTTGCTGCACCCTTTCCCTCCTAGTACACTTAATAGTTGTCACGTTGAAATTTCTCAGATAAGCCTAGTCTCTCCCATACTAAAGGGAGGCTCCTTCCTTGACCTGCTTGTTCAGCTCAATGTAGCATGCCCTTCCAGTCCTCACATGAGAGAAAGAACAAATTATCCTGAGTGCTCTGTACAATATGATTAAATACAATGCTGTACCGGATTCTTCAAAAGACTTTACATTTTATCACTACTGTATTTTTTATTTGTGTCATTATCAATTGCTCTCTATATTCTATAAACAGTCATGGCCCTGTATAGTCTAATTTTTTTTTGTGGTACTGGGGATTGAACTCAGGGCCTTGTGCATGCGAGGCAAGCATTCTACCAATTGAGTTATATCCCCAGCCCCTCTATCTCTAACTTCTATAGATATTATTTTGGTGTCATAATATGTAATGACAACTTTGCTCTTCTATATTAGGTCCTTGGGCTCAACTTGGTTCTCCAGACCATATTACTTACACTGTAGGATTTCTCAACTGCCACAGATGCATCAGAACTTGCTTGAAAGGATTCACTATGCTCTGGCTGCTCATTTTTTCTGGGGGACAGGTGCCTGATACCTAATGATTATATTCACAATCAAGGTCATGGTCATGTAGTGATATTCAGATAACATTAAAGGGATAAAAGATAGTGTGAAAGAAGAGACACACAAGTATTCTGCCAAGGGTGTCCACATCCCATATGTTAGCTTTGTTGTAGAGAGCAGACACTGTTAGTTTAGCCTGGCCCAAAAAATGCAGCCCTGGATTATCCAACCTTTTGCCCAACCATTCAAGAGTGATACTTGGGACTAAGGATGTGGCTCAGTGTACAGTGCTTGCCTAGCAATATGAGGTCCTGGGTTCAACCCCCAGCACTGTGAAAAAAAAAGAAAAAAAAGATACACACACACACATAAAATCAAGCCTTATCTATCTATCTATATCTATCAGTACTGGGGATTGAGCCCAGGGGCACTTTATTACTGAGCTACATCCCTGACTCTTTTAAAATTTTCAGATAAGATCTCCCTAAGTCGCTTTAGGGCCTCGCTACATTGCTGAGGCTGGTCTCAAACTTGCAATCCTCCTGCCTCAGTCTCCCGAACTGCTGGAATTACACGTATGTGCCACTGTGTCCGGCGATGGTAATTTCAGGTGTTTTTAACTCACAACTGTGACATAATATCCCATGTCCTGATTGTAAGCAGATTACCAGGTGGAAATACAGTTATCATTTTTAACCTGTAAATCTATTAACTAATGACAGTAAATGTCGCTTATTGCTAGGTTCCTCTGGATTTATTTCTAGCTTAGAATAAAAGACAAAGGCTGGGCATAATAGCACACACCTGTAATCCTGGCAATTTGGGAGGTTGAGGCAGGAAATAGAAGGTTCAAAGCCAGTCTCAGCAATTTAGCAAGGCCCTACGCAACTCAGCAAGACCATCTCAAAATAAAAAAATAAAAATAAAAAGAGCTGGGAATGTAGCTCAGTGTAGCACCTCTGGGTTCAATCCCCAGTACCCTCCCCCCAAAAAAGCAAAGAAATGAGCAGTAGGAAGCCGTGGTCCACCTCCTCCCTCAGGTAACGAAGGTTCAGTTACTTGCTAGATTACCTCCAGGACCAGAGTCAGTAAATGAAGATAATTTTACTTCCTTTGGACAAAGGAATCTTGTTTCAGTAATAGAAAATCTTAAGAACCAGGCTCAGCGGCTCACGCCTCTAATCCCAGAGGCTTAGAAGACTGAGGCAGTTAAAGGCCAGCCACAGCAACTTAGTGAGGCCCTAAGCAACTTAGTGAAACCTTGTCTCAAAAATAAAACGGTCTGGGGATCCCTGGTACAAAAAAAAAAACAACAACTTATGAATCTCTGGATAGCTTTGTGTGAAGCACAGTGCGGTATAAGGGGTCTGCTGCTTTTCTTTGGAATTCAAGTTTCCCAGAAAGGTAAGAAAGGAAAGAGTATGAATCAAAGGAAATATGCCAGGTTTACTTATTTCTGAGAGCAGATAACTTGATAGAGTTCACCTAACACAATTCCCCCAACCAAACTTACTGGTGAATCTTTGAGGCTCAGGCTGTTTGCCGTGCTTGTCACTGTCACAGCCACTACTGTCCATTTTTCCAAATTTGACATTTCCTCCTGTCTCATCATTTTCCCTGTGATACACTACAACTTGCTTCCAGTCCATGTTTTGAGGGCCCTTAACAGGGGGCTGCATCAAAGGAGCAGGCTGATTTTCAGCTTCACTGTTCAAAGTCAAACTACTTTGAGGATGCCAAGGAGGTACTGTGAGCTGCCCAGTAGCTACTTTCTCTGCCATTTCTTTCACTTCCACTGGGCACAAAAGAAAGCAGTATTTAAAACATCACTATGAACATTGTAAATAAAAGCCTTCATCTTTAATGTATAATACTACTATAGCTCATATTGTAATAATGATTGCCTTTTTACAGTTATTATCTTCTCTTGCCCTGTTTGGCTTAAAGGGAAAACAAATGACAGAGCAAGGGAAGAGAATTTCAGTTGGTTAGCCTAAACAACACCCTTGTTGTTGAATTCCAGAGTAGATGGCAACAGAAAACTTGTAGATGGACTCTCCTACTAATTTAACAAGAAAAATGACATCTGAAATTCCCAGCCCATAGTAATTAATGAAA